GTAAGCAACCTCCTTGGACCCGGGTCCAAACTTCAAGGGCACGACTCCTCACTCATCTTCTTCCCTTCCCATTCGCGTCTTGACCACCCCCTTTGACTTGTACCCACACCACGAAGCGTCAGCCAGTGGTATTGGAGTGCAAGCATCGACCACCTGCCAGATCCCTCTGGAAGGATTGCATCAATGTACTCGACGATGTGCAGCTGCCGCCGCCCGTCGAGGAACCCTCTCGTACACTCTGGGTGTGTTTAGCCACCAGATTATAAGTACGGTCCCGCTGACCGTGAGTGGCATTTTCTTTTGGATATTTCCCTTCCTGTTTTCTATCGTTCTCTCCTGTGAGAGAAGTGCAATTGAACCGCTTTACTGTCTCAGCTCAAATCGTCTTTCAATAGGTTATGGGCTTCGCCGCCAAGCACGCCGAGTACTTGATCAACATCAAGGTCAAGAGCGTGTACAACAACATGTCGGCCTATCAACTGCTGCATGGTAAAAACCCGCATGCGCTACTCGATTTGCACTCGTTTGGTGCAGATGCATACGTGTGTGACAAGGACCACCGCAGGTCAAAGTTTGGTCCAAAGGCCCGCAAAGGGGTCTACGTGGGATTTTCCCCTGCCAAATTGGCGCACAAAGTCTACATGCTGGACACCAGGCGCATGATCGAGACGGTACACCTGAAGCTTTGCCCCCATGCTCGTGATGAGGGGGAGAATGTGGATTTGCCATCACTCGCCTCGATGCAGACCTGGAAGCATGATGAAGATGACTCGCAAGACGAAGGACCGCAAGAAGATGATGAAGACACAAGCACGGAGACTGAAGATGTGCTGGAGGCAGATGACCAGGAGACTGACACTCCATTTGCCTCGCCAAATTCGAGTCCAGCAATGAGCGACGATGAAACCATGGTAGCCCCGCTTGTGAATGCTGAGGTTGGCTCACCCGCTGCACCATTGGCGTCAAATTCCCCAGGCATTGGTGGGCGAGTTGCCCAGCGACGCTCTGCCTCGGGTGGTCGCAACAAGGCAATTCAACCCAGCCTGAACGTCAACGAATTGGCCAGCAATGCCGGACAAGCTCAGGCAAACCCGAGCTTTCAGAGTCATCGAGCTGAAGTATGCTACAGCACAACTGGTATGCCGCAGACAGTGGCGGAAGCCTTGGCTCGCCCAGATGCCGCAGCATGGCAGCGCGCTCTGGACGATGAGATTGCTTCGTTTCAGGAACATCAAGTCATGACTGGACTTGATCAGAAGCCCAACGCTGCATTGCTCGATCTGCGAGTGGTATTCGACATCAAGCAAGATGGCCGCTACAAGGCCAGGATCGTTGCCAAAGGTTTCAAGCAGCGTGAAGGCATCAATTACGATGAAACGTATTCGCCGACGGTAAACATGACGACCGTCCGCACATTGATGGCGCTTGCTACTTACCAGCATTACCATGTGCATCAGGTGGATGTCAAGACGGCGTTCTTGCACGCGCCACTTGATGAGGACATCTACATCCGAGTCCCTCGTGGTCTGGAGGCTGGACTCGGTGGCTGTGAGTATGCCAAGCTCAACAAGGCAGTGTATGGCCTGAAGCAGGCATCCCGTGCCTGGTATCTCGAACTTGATAAGTATTTGCGTGACATCATGCAATGTCGTCGACTGCGACAGGATGAGTGCGTCTACGTCTACAAGGAGGACACGGACATTGTATGGGTTTTGGCCTATGTTGATGACATTTTGCTTGTCGGCAGCACAGAAGGCATCATCAACAATTTCAAGCGCAAGCTCAAGGGCAAATTCGAGACCAAGGACTTTGGCCAGATCAAGAACTTTCTCAACATGGAGTTTGCCATTACCCAGGACTCGATCACGATCAAGCAGACGGCCTTCATCGAGAGCATCCTGAAGGAGTTCAACATGGACTCGTGCAAGCCAATGACCACACCATGGACAACCGGTGTGAAGCTGGAGCGTGTGACCAAGACTGAGGGCGACTTTCCTTATCGCCAACTGATGGGCAAGCTGAATTATCTTGCAACTCACACACGCCCTGACATTGCTGCAACTGTGAGTCTTCTGAGTGCTCACAACCAGTGTTTTGATGAGACTCATTGGCAGGCAGCCAAGCGCCTGCTGCGCTACCT